TTTTTAAACCTCCATCTCTAGTTAGCGGCTTCCTTCAAGGATGCAACTGCAAGGCAGAGCATTCATTTGCTCTCTGAGGCTTTCAGGTTGCCATGTGAAGTTTTAACAAGCTGAAATGTTGACTTCCAGCATTTGGGAGATTGTCACTTTTGCTAGGCCATTACTGGAAATGATTTAAGTAACATGATGCGGTTATCTRGATCTCTTAGCATCTCTTTGGGATGTCTTGCGTGTTGGTAACATTCTCTCAGGATAAGTTTACATTCAGCTTGCTTTATAGCAGAAGAAGAACCAATTTGTGCATAWTTTTTACTGCACTTTTTATTATTGAGTTATTAAAAATGCAAGACCAGCCTCTCTGACATATTTCCAAGCCCTATGGAATGAAACACAGAGCTCAGGGAAGCTCATTACCAGAAAGGTGCAGGCAAATGTGAGGGAGCTGAGGGGCTGGAAGGTCTCTTCTTTGAGGAGGGATCAGGTGAGCTGAATGTGTAAGGCATCTAAGCAGGTGGTGGAAGCAGAGCWTCACAAGATGGGAAAGACTGGGTCTGTCCACATGGCAAATTGTCACACATCCAGGGGAGGTGAATCTGGGTAATGCTGTTCTGCCCTCAAAACTGGGGAACGTGCAAAGAAACTGGAAGGCAGCTTACTCAAACTATGCAACACTTACCTTTGCCATGATTTGCCACTGAACTCATTGTTATGAAATTTACTCAAAGTCAGAGGATTCCCAGGGCTGAAAATAGCTGGGATAATCCTGGCTGCCCTTTTCATTCGGACAGCTGTCTTTGGTTGAAGACATTTCAGAGGAGGCTGGGCTGAGGAGGTGCTGGGGAAGTTAATGGTGTGTGCAGGTSTTTGCAGGCTTGAAGCCTCTTCTGTGTGTTGGTGCAGAAGTTAATCCACCACAGTGGATTAGCCAAGCTGCCTGCTCAGCCTGGTTTTTGGATGTGCTTCCCTTTGGATGTTCCCCTTTCCAACTCTGCACTGAGCCCATCCGTTTTTTTTGTTTTGGCTTGGCCATTTTCCTCAATCAGATGCCAGCCTGAATGGTTTTATAAACACAGCATCCCAGTGATGTCCAGGGAGAGGGTAAATCCTTTCCACGAATGTCCTGCTGGCTTGATTCCACCATGCCAGGGACTRGAGGCCACCTGTCTCTGCCCATCCTCCAGCCAATGTTGAAGAGATCTGTTTTATTGTAGTGCTTATTYCTTTGCATATTCCTGCCTGTGGATATTCCAGCAGTATCCGTGCCCACTCTGCACCGTGCCAGGTTTGGGGAGGGCAGTGCAGGCTGGCTGCCACTTTGGTCCCTTTTCAGTCTGATCCGAGGTGCAGTACTGCTCCCTCCAACTCCACTGTTTTATTGGCTTCTTCTTAGAACATGAAAGTTACTACGGTTTTCCCATTAGCTTTTAGTTCCTAATACCTTTTGAAGCTGAAACTATCTAAAGAAAACATTTGGGTGCACTCAGGTCTGTTTGGCCACAGTCCTGTCCCAAAGAACAGTCGGTGACGTGGTGAGATAAAGAGCAGGAAGGGAGACCCCAACCCACTGCAGGGCAGGATACTTGTCAGTTTGAAGATGCTGATTCTTCATCAGCTGATTCCCTCTGTGTTTGGAGTGGATTTTCCCAAAGTGCATCAGGTCCCTTTGGGATGAGGATGGTTCTGAACAAGTGGAAAAGATTATTATCATGCTGTTGTATTTATTTGGAGAGGATGTGCAGCAGTTTTCAGACAGCSCTACACACCTAATTGGGAATTCAAATTCCAGCTGGTAGATTGAGGCTGAAAGGCAGAGCTGTGGGATAGAAACGGGCAGGCACAAAATGCTGAAGCTCCTAATCTTTTGCAATATGTTTGTTTAATACAAAGTGGTCTATTGAGATTGTTTTGCAGAGTAGAATAATCGTTGTGTGCTGACTAATGGGAGACAGCAAGCTGTTAAAGAGCATCAATTAACCATACAGGAGGAGATTATTGAGTATTTTCACAAGCATTCAGGATGTGAAGAGTAAAGGATATTGCTTGAAGGTAACCCTTGGAGATTTTTAGCAGTTGAAATCTATAAACTGCAACAAGACTATTTGTGGCCATACATACGTTTGCAGAGCCTTCCAAGAACAGAACTGGAGTCAGCTTTCCAGTTCCAGATTGTRCTGATAAAAGGAGATAAAAAGTCCTTTGCTGAACTTGTTCTCTTATTTAATATTGWTATTTTTTTTCATTTCCCCTCTTARGTTTATTAAATGTTATCCCAGGAAATGCTGGTCCTCTTATAGAAGACAGCAATACCCTTGTGGTACTTTAATTTAGGTTTGTTACTCTTCTGTTTTCCTGACTGTAAGGCTGTTGTCCTTACAGCTGCTCCTGCTTCCCTATAGTAATTCCTGTCCCTACTACTGCTGTGAGTTAGAGCTCAATGCACTTAGTGCTGAGAGGAGCATGCTGCTCCTCCATCATGTGCCTTGCTTAATGGATAATAAAATTCTCCAGTTTTGACTGGTGGAGAGTATGAAAACCTATGTTTCATTAAGAATGCTTTTATACAGCCCTACTATGTTTCTGCTCGAGTTTAATGTGAAAAATAAATAACATTTTGTGGGCTCTGTTTGCTGAGTGATGTTGTTGTTTGTAACTAACGGGAAATTTTTCCCATCCTGGATTCCAGTGTTAAATCCACTTTGTGCAAACATCATTTTCCATTTATTCATTGGCTGTGGGGAAACCAGATAACATTGAATTTATTTTTTCCAGTTTTGTTCTTTCTAAAGTGGTGTTAGAGAATTGCACCTCAGTTATTCTTGCAGCCAACAGCAAGASATGTCCCTGGGATTCCTTGGGGATTATGATAAAGAGGGACCCCTGGTTCTTGGACAAGGACAAAGACAGACTTCTCTCAGCTTCAATTCTCTGTTCAAATGCCTTAATCAACAGAGGTCTCCTTTAACAGATGGTTCTGCATTGATAAAGCCTTTAATGTGTTAGTAAAAATTCAGAGAAATTTACTCCTTTTCTGATTTGATTGATTTTCTTAATCTTCTTTAAGCGGAGGCTGAGGGGTGAGAATAACTCATCAGAAGACTATGGAGAGGATTAATTACTTGGCTGCAAAACTCATGAAGATATTCTGAAGGAAGATGTGGGATGAGTGAGTGAAGCCCTGGTGAAATTGGTGTCAGTGGGAAAATTTAGCTGTGACTGCAGCCCTTGCACCTGCAGCGTTTCACTGTGAGGGAATGTAGACTGATCCCCTGTATATTATATCCTTCTGAACTTGTTTCACTAATAAAACCTTCCCCACTAATCCAGGGGGAAAAATCCTTTTGTCTCACAGACAGCAGCTGGTGTGACCCTGAGCAGCTGTAGCTTGACAGTGGGAAATGCTGCAGGTGCTTTGCTACCTCAGGACTCTTGTCCTTGCAGCTGGTGCTGCTTTGAGCTCTGCCTGATCTCTGGTGCTTCAGAGAGCTGCCAAAATATCCCTGACTTTACAGGGAACTTGTCAAAGCTCTGATGTGTGAGGTACCGATATCTTAATGCAGATCTGCAGATTTAAAGCCCCGAGGAGTTGTTCAGCTTCACCCACGGGCAGGAAAGGGAGGGGTTGCTGAGCAATTTCAAGGCTGGAAGGGGTATCATTAGCACTGCGCTTGACCTGAGCTGAGCTTTGGCCAAAGGATTCATCCCTGGAGCTGCAGTGAAGCATTTCATGGTTCATTATCCTCACAGTAGGAAACAATGTCTTACTCTGAAGCTGAATATCTTAGCTCRAATTTTCATCCATTTGATCTTCTTATGGCTTTGTCAGCAAAGTCTGATCTTTACCACTTTTTTTTTTCACTTCCTTTTAGGAACTAAAACAAATTATCTATCTTCATGAAGTATTTTAAGCTCTCCATATTTCATATTCTGAGGTTTGTTTTCTGGGCTGTGGGTCACTGGGTGACCTGCCTGTGAATCCTACTGTCTGTTTCCCTGTGTTTTTCTGAGGCATGAACTCCAGAACTGCTCACAAGTCTCAGGAGAGCTCTGRGATTTGTGCAGGTTGCAGGGGCAGCACTGCTTGTTGGAAACTTTGCTGCTTTTTTGACTGAGTTGATTTGGCAGCTTTTTGCCATAGCAGAACAGAAAATCCCATTGGGCCAAAAAACCATTTCCCTGAAGGCCTTAGCAGGGTGCCTCTTTTACAGATGTTTCCCCACTGACAAGTGCATTTTGAGATGAGTCACTGAATCCATATTTAATCCACTAGTAAAACTGGCAAGGCAATTACCATCTTGCAAGTTCTTCAAATCAAATTGTTAGAGAACATTAAATCAAATGCTTTGGAGAAATCCCAGTATATACAATTGCTTTTATCATCCAGACTGTGATGCTGTCACAAGAAAAGCTTTTATTTTATTGGGGTCTCTCTTCAGTGAAAGTGTGCTGCCTGGTACTCATTTCRGTCTTGGCCTCCACTTCTTTGTCTCTGCTCCATGATTTTCCTTTCCCTAATTGTTACCCCATATTGAGAATTAAGGCATTGCTGGCTTACAGTTGTCACCCATACTTTTTGGCATTGCCAAGTGCAGAAAGCATTTGCAAACTGAAATAATGCTCTTATTCAGGAGGCAATTAATCTGTTATGACAACCRGGGGGCTTAAAGCACGGCAGGGATGAAGGTCGCTCTGCTGGGTCTCTGAAGCCAAAGCACCCCCTCCCCAGTAAGAGAGAAGCATGCYTTGTGTGTAAGTCATCACTGGAGGGGCTGACTGAAGCTCCAGGCAGCTTTCTGGTTCCTGAGGCTGCAGCCTGACAGAAGGCACATGTTAGCTTCATTCAGTTTTCACTGCCACACGCTTTAGTTTACACTCACAGTTGGCTCTTCTCTTTGGTACGTCCTAGTCCAAACATGACGTTTTGTGTTTGTTGTTTCCTGGGGGGAGGATTTGTCTCACAGAAATGTACTCCACTCCTCCCCTCCTGTTCTTTTTCTCCACAGGTGACAGCAAGAGAAGAACTACAGAAAGAGGGGTTCTCTGCCACTGCTAGAAAGATACAGGAAAGTGTTGAACAAAAACTGCGAGATCTGACATGCTTTCATGCTCCAAAGAAAAATGCAATGCACGGTTCGTGCAGGTTGGTGCTGAGAAACAAACATCCCGCCACCAAAATGGGCTTTGGTCAGTGTGGATCCAAGGAGGCTGTTTCAGCTGTCAGTGCTACYGAGGTGATCAGAGAGCTGCAGATGAGAGAGGCCAGCCTGCAGAGAGAGCTGGAGCAGCTGCGGGAGGAGTGCYGCCAGAGGCTGGATGAAATTGCACAAGGCTTGGAGGGAGTGATTTGTATCTCCCCTTGAARAGATAAAACTGCACTGAGAGGAGCAAAGGAAAAGAGTGGCTTGATCACATTGTGCAGCCTAGCTGGGGGAGTGTGAGGTGAGGAACCAAATGAATTTCTCATTTTTTAGCCTGGCAATCATAACTTGTCCCTGCTTTGTGAGTTATGCTGGGGCCATAACCTCGGTGRCTCTCTCTGCAGCCCCTTTATTGCTAACCTTGCCAATTAAATTCTGCATTAGGCCTTGGTGGGAGTGTGCATAAATCTCCCTTTTATCTTCTGGATTTCTAGTTCTTCTGCCAAGCACTGGGCTCTTTTACAGTGCTCAGCTGCTAGGCACGGCGTACATTGAGGCTGTGCATTGAAGTACTAATTGCATTCAATATTTTCCAGCAATTGGAAGAGTTCATTAGTCAGAAAAATCCAAGTATTGGAGAACATGAAAAATGCCAAGGCTTAGAGAGATTGGAAATATTCAAGAAAGTGTGTTGTTTTAATTCAGCTGCWTGGAGTATTTGTGGCAGCTATAATGTAGTCACAATAAAGAAAAACAAATGCCTAATAATAAATAAAGCACTGCACTGATTTCATTTACTGGTGTGATGCACTTGAAGTAATTGGGTTCTCAAAGAGAGCAAACTAGAAACCCATTCCATCAGGTTATGAGTCACAATGAGAGAGTGAACTTTTGGACCTGCTCTAGGAAGGTTCTGTGATACAGAAATCTGACCTTAACTTCCAAACTTGAGGAGTCTCCAAGCTCTGTCTCAGGAGGCTTCTTCCCTTGGAACATTGAAATGCTTTTCCTTTGACCTTCATTTCCTACCCTTTTCTGGTTTGTTTTCACCAAGGAATATTTTTATATTCTGGCTGTACACTTTCAGGAATAAATAATATTTGAAGAAACCGGTCTGCTTTTCATTTGTGAATTGCTGGGAGCAGTGGGATTTCCTCCATCTTGGGGAGAGCCCCTGGGAGCAGAGTGTTTGTGTGTGTTGTCCAAGGCTGTCAGTCACACTCAGAGTGCCTGCTGGCAGCTGGCACTGGGAGTGACACKCATTCCTGGAACAGAAAACCCCTGTGGACTGGTGAGATCCATGTCTGGGGCAGGTGGCCCCAGGCTGCTGCTCCTGGAAGAATCTCCATGGCTTTCAAAAGCCAATCCACACTGCTCTGCTTTCCAAACCATCTTGTAGGTGCGGGGTACCTGTTTCAAGCCAGGTGTTGGCTCCAGAGCTGCTGACATTTAAAGCACAAGGGGACTTACTCAGACACAGGTTTCACAGAAAATTATTCATGAATGGGAGCCAAGCAATATATCCCAGAACTAACAAAGTGGCAGCACCAGTCTCTCTCTCTTTGAGCATTTTATATCCTCCTTTAGCTTTTATACAAGGAAATTTTCATTCTGCATCACATATAGGTTTAAAATACTGCCCTCAAAAGATCTTTTCTTCTCCTGGGATATTCAGCAGAGAAGAGTGGGCAAATATTCCTGCGCATGACGAGAGCTCTTGGGGTCAAGTGCAGGTCTAGCTTATGCCTTGCTGTGGCTTGTCAGGGCTGGCTTAATGCAGGATGCCAGGATGTGTTGTCCTGCTGTGCACTTAAACTGACAGGAGTCACTTAGGGGATGAGTTATTTCCTGGGATCAGCCCTTTGTCACCACACGCACTTAGTGCCCRGTGCTCCAGAGCTCAGCCAAGGGCCCCTTCAGCAGAGACTGCCACTGGCAGCACCTTGCCCCTGCTTGACCCTGCAGAAGTGTTTTTTTTCTCTGGTGGGATGTCAAGAGTGGCAGTGCTCGGTGCCTCTGTGTCATGTGTGTGATGTACACAAGTGACTCGCAGACAACTGCACGGCACAAGCCACTGTGCCGCAGTGGCCACACGGGAGCTGTCAGGAGAGCCGGTGGGCTGGACATGGAGCTGGAGCTGCTTGTCCTGGAATGTCCATCGACAGGGGCAGCTGAGGCAGCTGAGAAGTTCACCTTCCCACCTGTGACTGTGCTGGCACCACACGCTGCAGACACCTTGTGCTAAGAGCACATTTTGGATTTTCTGGCACTGATTTTGCACTGCTTTTTGTTTCAGGGATCAATTAGCTTAAACCAGAGCAGCTACTCTGTGGTCCCTGCTGAAGGTCAGCGGTGTGTTCTGAGCTGGCAGTGGTTTTACAAACAGTACTTGCAGCCTCCTCTTTCCTTTGCCGCTCTTCTCAGCACCAACATGGAGTGCACAAAGCAGAAGATGCTCTTGGTGCTCTCCCACACTGAATTTTGGAGCTTTTAAAAATCACAGTTCTTCCCCAGCAGCTGGACACAGAGGGGCTGAGCTGTCACAACTTCTGAGGCATATCAATGCATCTGGAATACAGCTTTACAGTCCTCGTGAGCTTGGCGAGCCATCAGCTGTCTCTCCATCACTGCTGGGAGATGATGAATGATAAACACCACTTAAAAGCCTAAGAAAATATCCCTGGATTAACACCAGCTGCAGGGCAGGAAAGTGCCCTGAGTGACCACAGTCACACTTCATGTGACATAACCTAGGAGCAAATAGACGTTTGTCACCTCACACTGTTACCATGGCATTTAAAATATTTTCCTTTCCTTGCTTTGGCTGACTTCTCTCACCCTCGTCAGAGCCCAGCAGTTTTCAAGGCTGCAGTGACCCTCAGTCACCAGGACCTGGCCCTGTGTCAGCAGCCCAGGATGCTGCAGAAGGGGGAATGGCTGCCCTGGGAGATGTGTGACCAAGCATCCAAGTGACTGTTGYTCTGTGGCAGATGCTGTGACAGGAGGAGGGTGACTCAAGCGGTTCATGCCATCCACAGGCTCCTGCATGCTCGGTAAATGTTAAGCATTACTTCACAGGAATTGGAGAGTGTTGTAAACAACCTACTACAGGCTGAAAGCAAAGGCACAAGCTGCTAAGGGGGTTGTTCGTTTCCATACCACCATGCTGGTTGTACATTTCCTTGTGAGAGCAGGAATCTGCCCTGAAACTGTTGATGGAGTTGACCAGAGAAGAGCGGGTGGGTATCAGCTGGGGAAACTCAGTGAGTCTCACATTGTGGTTAAACTCAAGGGGTGAGGGAAGGCYGGTGGTGATTCTGCCAAACATCTGGGGTAGACAGCAGGGTTTGGTTTCATTGCTGCTTTTTTTCTTTGAAGCAGTTTTCCTTGGTACATCGTGAAGGGTGTAGTTTGGGTTTGGATCTAAGTGAAGTTAGGAAAGAGAGGAACATATTCCAGGCCCACGCTGGAAAAGCAAGAAAGCAGGGTTGAATCAGTACTTGTCACAGTTGTGCCTGTGGTTGTCAGACACACCTGGTGAGGGCCAGGCAGGGAAGAGCTGTCCCAGATTTCACCTGGTGACAGCTGACAGCACAGCCTGTCCACATGGAGCTGCCATCACAGCTAACCCTCCTTGTCAGGCTGGGAGCACCTGGCCTTTTGCTTCATGCTCTGCTGACGCTTCACTGAAGGCAGGCTGAGTTACTGCTGCACTGTTTAAACCACACTGTCTGCTGATGGATTGTTTTCAAGCACAACCCTAAAAGAAGCTTTTACAGGACTTGAGTGTGTGCAGGCTCTGKCAGGCCAGCGAGGAGGTGCAGGTGGAAGAGCACGGTTTAACCCATGGCTCTGATGTAACTGGTGCTGGCTTTCCCAGCATCTTGCTAGGAAAATGGAGTTGGCCATAAATACTTAATTGGCTGGTAACTCTGGCTCACACTGTGTAGCTGGAAATACTCCTCCCCAAATAACTGAGCATCGTTTAGCTTGCAGTCAAAACAGGAGGTTCACTCTGCGAAAGGCAAGYGTGGCATCCGCAGTCCCCGCTCCCGACAGCATTGCGCCTGCTGGTAAATAAGGGCTGCAACCTATGTTTAAAAATAAGAGCTGCTGCGAGTAGTGATTTCCAGCSTGGAGTGTTTGGGGATCCCTGGGGGATTCCTCCACCAGCTCCTGCTGGAGGATGAGCTGCTAGCAGTTGGTGTGAGTGTGTGGGAGTTAGCACATGCCTGATGGTTCAGCTCTCTCTCCTCTGACCCTCAGCCTCTCCCAGTGAAAGCCTTTGCTCTTTCACCCTCCTGCTTCACCTCCTGGAGCCAGCGGCTCACATGGAGCAGTCTGACAATACTTTTCCTCCTCAGCTCACAGCCCAAGCCCTCGTGGCCAGTGTCTCACCTCCAGGCTGGGAGGAGTCTTGTCCTCCAGCCCGTCCACACCCACCCTATGTCCCATCTGTCAGGCCATGGCCAGATCCCTGTTCCTGTCCCTGAAGTGTTTTGTTCCTCTTCTCTGCAATGGGAGGCATGGAAGACAAAGGTGCAGCCTTGTGTGATCTTCCAGTCTCACATGCCAGCTCCTGGCCYGGGCTGGGGGTGTCTGTCCCAGCCCYAGCTTCTGTCTCTATGGGATTGTGYRCACAAAAGGCTCTGCCAGCCACACCATCACCCCCAGCCATGAGGGGGCTGTGTCCCACTAAGCCAAGGAGCTGTCACTGGCAGGTGCCTTCAGTTCAACTGTGCCACCTTATTTCCCAGCGTGAGTCTTAGGGTCTGCATCCAGGGCTGCTGGTTTGTTTCCTTCTGAAGGGCTGGAGAGCCTTTTACCCACCCAGAAACACCCATCATGGAGGTGCACCTAGACACTGAACCTGAACAAAGGGAATGCAAGCAGCTGGGSAAAGCCACCCCTGTGGTCCCCTGGGCACTGAGAGGGTCAGCATGAAGAGGGGGACAGGCAGGCCCCTCCACCAGCCAGCCTGGGGGGCAGTGGGGTCGGGAAGGATCTGAGCTCTCTCGGTGGCTTTGGCTTTAATTTAGCATGAAATACAGCTAAGAAATATTGGAGCGTGGCTGCCTGCATCAGAGACAAGCAAACGAGGGATTTGCTGGGGTAGAGTCAAAGCAGGCTCTCAGCCCCTGCTAATGCTCTTCTTCTCCCATCTGACCTTATTAAATCAGCCTGGTTGTTTCACAAGATGCCTCCTTTGCCTGGCAGAAGCCCACAGCTGCTCTGGAGGGAGGAGAGCTGAGGATGCTGAGGAAAGGCTCAGTGGAGCAGGAGGGAGTGCCAGCAGGGAGTGGGGTGTAGGGGATGAGCAGGGCTGTGCCGGCCCTGGGGCTCGTCTTGCAGGAGCCCCCAAACACCCTTTGTGTTACAAATACAAATCCAAGGGAAAAAGCTGGTATTTTCTGCCAGTCCAGCTGCTCAGCTGGCAAAATCTCCAGCACTTGGTGGGGGGCAAGTAGAGGATTTTGCTTAATCCTACCAGCTTCTTGTCTTGCACATGGAACTTGCAGCTTTCCYGGGCTGTGAGTGACAGGGCTGTGCTGATAGCTGGGTCCAAGGAGGACACAGGGCAGGAGTTTGGCTGTGGAAAGGCAAAGGGGGCAGAGGTTTTCTTGGAGTATTTGTTCCATGAATCCATTGAACCAGACTGGCTGTAGGACACAGTGTGGG